CTTTATATAAGCTAAAATATTGTATTAAGAACTATAAGTTTAAAATTGATATTTAAAGAGTTCACCAAGAATTAGTCAATAATTTTTTTGATTAAAAATTTTTTTTAAATTTGTCTATTTGTAACTTATAAGTAATTTAAACTTTTTTTCTTATAATATAAAATTAAATATTACTATATTATAATTCTTATTTTTAAATATTAGCAAACAAATTTTATTTAAATATTTTAAAATTTAAAAAATGTAGATTATAAATATATTTTTATTAATTTTTTAGACAAATTTGTCTGAAAATAGTCTATAGTTTAAGAGATAGAACAAAGCAAATAAGTATTGTAGGGGTTTTTGAAAATTAATTAGTCAAATACTAAAAAGTTTAAAGTATAGATTAGAAATATAGAAAAACTTTATATTTATTAAATTATCTTTATTACTTTTGTTATAACCATTATGTAACTTTCAAATAAGTTAAAATAAATTAAACAGATATTTTTGAATTAAAAATTCCTTTTTAACTTTTAATTTTTCAAAAGTGGTATTTTCAAAATTAAGTATTACTATGTGTATTGCATAAAGTTTACAAGAAATTTGAAATAAACTTGAGTTAACTTCTTTATTAAATAATATTACAGTACCATTTTTATGGCCTGACATACAGTATATACTATATTATCAGTTGTCTATATTAAACATTTAGTTAAATTTAACTAATATTGGTTATAAGCTTTAATAATAAAATTAGTAATTGATGTTTTCAAACATTGAGCTAAGTTTTCAAGTTCTAATAAGATAACTTTTGATTTATTAATATTTAAATTTTAATACATCAAGTATATAACAAAAATTTTTTTATCATTACATGTTGATTTGTTAGTCATAATTCTAAAACATTTAAAAGTTTTTGTAATAGTGCATTATTGGATTATATAAATATTTGAAATGTCTTTATACCATCTAACAAGTGTGTTAATAAAAAATTATCTATCTGATTCTTTATTTATTGACCACTCAATTACTTTCTTTATATAAATTATAGTAGATTAGAAGATATTTTATCAATTTTACAAACTTGTATAGTCATTAAAATGGTTCTAATACTGTATTGTTTTTTATTTAACATAAGTCAATTTTGAATAGTTAATTTTAGTTACTTATTAGTAATTATAACTTTTTATATGCTATAAAACAGGCTAAAAAAAATTTTTTTTTATACATTTGCTTATATTTTTTAATTTTATTTTGTAAGAATTTGATTTTTTTTGTTAAATAATTAACTTTTTAACTTGATGGTTTTTTAGATTTTATAAGACATTTTTTTAAATGATATAATAATTCTTTAATAAAATCATAAGTCTTTTGTTATGAATACTTTAAGAAAACCTTTACTGTTTTAGATCCTTTATTATATTTCATAATGTTTATCAGAGAAACTCCAAGACTCAACTTATTATCATCTATATTTATTTCTATATTTCTAAATATTGTTGACAAAATTGCTCTTGTGAAACTTTTTTGATTATATTTATAAATGTTATTAAAAATGAATCAGATAAATCTATCATGTATTCTAAAAGTTTATCAACTTTTTGTTGTTTAATATCTATTTGAATATTTGACAATCATAAACTTGCTGATATATTTGATATATTATTGTAACTACTATTACTTGTATTTTCAATTACATTATTATGACTACTATCTGATATATTTGATATATCTTTATAGACACTATCAATAATGCCATTATGACTATCACTTGTACTTTCAATATTAACAACATTATAACCACTGCCACTTGTACTTTTAATAATATTTTTGACAACTTTATTTTCTTTTTTATAAAATTTTTGTTGTTTAAGTGCATTTTTCAAATGCTGTTATTATTTGAAATTTTTTTTAGATTACAACATTGTTTTAAATCATGGTAAAAAATTTTCAATTCAACTTACAAAGATCCTTTTTTTGAGTTAAGGATACAAAATTTTTATATTATGTTTTTTTTTAATTTGTAACTTTTATCTTTCTCTTGTTGACAATAATTGACACATTGTTTATTACAATTGAGAAAGCTTCATTAAATTATTCTAAGAAAATTAATATGTCTTTTTAAAAGAAATTAAACTGGCAATTATTACATTAGTTCAAAAGTTAACTGTACCGAAAGTCACTATTAGCCGCAGTAAATTCAGATTTTCATAAAAAATATCTAAATAGTAGTTAGTGCATATTACGCTACTTATGGTTTGATTTTATTAGTTTCATGATCACCCTAACAGGTTCCAATTAGGGTTGTTAATGGGTTGGGTTGGGTTGATCCAATTCTTAACCCACACCAGTAAATTAGACTTACTCCAGCATTTTACTCCGGGTTGCTCCAAATTTAAAGGTAAAAGTTTAAACCCACTCCAACTTGGGTTGGGTTCTACTCCGGAGTGCTCCAGAGCAAGCTACTCCATTAACAACCCTAGTTCCAATCCCTAATTGGAGTAGTATCAAGTTTAAAATTCTATGGAAGGTTTATTATATAACGAGGACGATAATGCATGAACATGAACTTATCTCGGGTTGTGTAACGATTGCATCAGCCTCGTTCTGAAAACCAGATTACGTATTCATTTCGCTAACGCTAAATGCAATAGCGACAAGCGCTTACCGAAAGATGGAAAACCCAGCAGTAACACGTTTCAGGCAATACTTACGTATCAAAACTGTTCAGCCCAAACCAGATTACGAGTCCTGTACCCGATTCTTATTAGAACAAGCAAAAGAAATAGGGTTGAAATCTAGTGTTTTTGAGGTAGCGCTAAAACGTTAAGAAAATTTTTTTTTTTGGCATATAATTTTAACACATTCTGTTCCTTATGAAAGTACGTAAAAGGAAAACCGATAGTGCTGTTGACATGGGAGGGTCGTGATCCAAGTCTACCTTCGATACTTTTAAATTCTCATACAGATGTTGTTCCCGTTTTTGAGGTATAAACATTAATATTTATTGATTATTTGTTTTTTAAGTAATATTTTTACCATTATATTAGGAGAAATGGAGTTGTAACCCATTCGAAGCTTGTAAGCTTGATAATGGAGATATTGTTGCCAGAGGTGCTCAAGATATGAAATGTGTTGGCGCAAGCTATCTTGAAGCTATCAGATGTCTCAAGGATCAAGACCAACAACCATGTCGAACAATTCACCTTTCATATGTTCCTGGTATAGTTCATAAAAATTATATTTCGATGTGGATCAGCCGATTTTTCACGTTTAATCAAATTTATCAAAAACAGATGAAGAAATTGGAGGAAAAGATGGAATGGAACATTTCATTGAAACAAATGATTTTAAAAAATTAAATGTTGGATTTGCTTTAGACGAAGGAATTGCAAATCCAAATGATGCATTGAGAGTTTTTTATGGAGAACGAGGCGTTTGGTGGATTAATGTTATAACAAAAGGGAACACAGGACATGGATCACAATTCGTAAAGGATACCGCTATTTCAAAACTGGTTTGTTGATATATATATATATATGTATATATATATACATATTTGTTCCGTGAGAATTTACTATATCCATTAATGTTTTAGAAATTTTATAGAATCGCATTATCAACAGGTTTATGGAATTTCGCGAGTCTCAGGAACAACAATTGGCAATTGGTATGAATACAGATGGAACGAAATATCATGTTGGAGACGTGACTACCATAAATCTTACAATGTTAAAAGTAAGAAATTTTATTGTGCCATTATGGCAAAAAGACTTTAGAATTTTTCTATAAATAAATTACTTATTACTTAATAGGCTGGTGTTCAACATAATGTTATTCCAGAAGAAGCTACAGTCGGTTTTGATATTAGGATCCCTCCAACAGTTGATTTCACGGCATTTAAAAACATGATAGAAGGATTTGTACATTCTGAGCCCGAGTAAAGTTTATTTATATTCAATGCATCTATTTTTAGAGTTTAATTTAATTTTATTTCTATCAATTTTTAATAGTTCTAGAATAGAATTTGTGCAATATAATGGAGCTGCATACTATACACCATTGAGTGAAAATAATATTTGGTGGGTTGTGTTTCGTGATTTTTGTAAAGGACGGTAAGTTACTAATTTCTCAATTCATCAATATATTACATAAGTCAATCATGTTAACCTATATCTACATTATAGCAATATTCCTATTGAACCAGAAATTTTCCCGGCTGGTACCGACTCGCGTTTTCTACGTGGCATCGGAATTCCGGCATTAGGTGTTTCCTATATCAGAAATACACCAATTTTGCTACACGATCATGATGAACGTATAAATGAGAACTTGTTTCTTGAAGGAATTGAATTCTATAAAGATTTAATCTATCAATTGGCAAATATCCAGAAATCTTAAATAGGCTTACAAATGCAGTAAAACAATAAAATTTTTTTTTCATTTTTTGACAAATGTTCGTATATATAACAAGTGAATATATATAACATCATTCACACTACCTCATATATTCAATGCCTAAATATATCTTCAAAACTAAATAAAAAGTTTTTTTTTTGTTACTTTTTTACTTGTGGTTATGTAAATGGTGTAAAAAAAATGTACAAAGGAGGAAGTGTACCCCTCCGATTTCAAAAATTTTTAAAAATTAATGAATGGTTTGGAAAAGTGTAAAAAAATGTACACAATGTATAATTATTTTTAATACTATAACAGACAGGCTGAAATTAAACTCTAAAACAAAGTAAATATTCACGATAAATGTTCAACCATATTAAATACTTTATTATGTATATATATATATTATCGAGAACTCCCTTCAAAAAATATTCACAAATTATTTTTTTAACGATCCAAGTCCCTATTTTATATAAAAAAAAAAAGATTTATTATTCCAAATGAAAAAAAGCCTCGTAAATTAAAGAAATATAGAGTTTAAGCACTTACAAGATCTTCAAGAAATTTATTTATATCGTTAACCGACTTTTTAGGGAATATCGATTTAAAATCAAACCCACTTTCTTTTACCTTCCGTGCAATAATTTGTTCGCTCTAAAAATAACAAATAAGTAAAATCACAGACAATATACTGTCATCATGTTATAGAATGCATACTTACCGTGTCAGCCTTTAATAATGTTAAATATCCAGCCATTACTTTTTCTAAACCTTTATCATCTATATCTGATAGGGGTTTAAGCAAATCTGATACATCTTTAAGGTCTAGATTTGCACCATTAAACAATTGTCCAGTAAACGTGTAAGATTTGGGTGCATCAGCACCAATATCTATTAGAAATTCTACAGTAGCAGTAAAACCTCTCATAAAGACTGGTTTATCAACAATATTATCGATTATAAATTTGTTAAATAATCTTATGACTTTATCTACATCTTCTTGCTTCTTTTCAAGCGCCTTATTTGAGAATACCTCAATTGCCTTAGAGTAAAAATCTTTGGGCAGTTCCTTAATGCATAATATTACCTCCTAAGAAGAATAATAAAGAAATGAATCTATATGTGCAAAGAAAATATTTCATAATATTCGTACTTACGTTTATATCTCCTATATTAAAGTATTCTTCAACTGTACTAATAATTTTTCTTTCAGCAACTTCATCAGACATTGATATTGAAGACTTTGTCATAATTGTTTTAGGTGCGGAAGGATTTTCTGATGATAATGGTAATGACGCTGATCTTGGCGCTAGAATAATTTTTTTTCGTTCAGGAGTGGATGTGAAAACTTTCGCCGATTCGCTAGAAGATGAACTATCAACTTTGCGTGTCTCTGTACTTTCAGAATGAGCCAAGATACCATACGTATTAGACGTTGAATTGGTACGACTCATGCTTTCAGTTTTATCTTTACGCTCCTTGCTTTCAGTTTTCCAACCCTTTGCACCTCCGCCTAAACTAGCGAAAGCAGAACCACCCGGTGCTAAACTGACATGACCAGAAGCAACCTTACTACGAGATACTGAACCAAATTTAGATAGATCTCCAGTTTGCCGCGAAGTTGATGATGTACCTCCGACCATACTCCAGCCATCAGAGCTTACTGACTGTCCACCTGAGCCATGAGACGACATATTTTTGTCGCGGCGACCAGAACCGCCACGTGATATTTGATCTGCCATTTTAGGCATTCCTATAAAATATCAAACAGTGATTAAGTACAAAATAAATAAATTGAATCAATTTTGCAATAGTGTATGTACCTCGTCCACCTGAACTTGCAGCTCGTCTTAAAATTTCTGCCTCTTCTTTTTGCTTTGCAGCCTACAATTACATTGGTAAATTAAGGTTCATATATATATATATATATATATATATACTAATCATGACATATTACTTACATCTTCATGAATTTCAGCTATAGTTTTAGGTGCATTGTTATCGCGTCTCGGTACCCAATTATTGTTCCGAAGATCAATAACATCCTATAATAAGATTTAGCATGTCAGCTCAAATAAAAATAACATAATAAATGAATAAAAAATAAAGTATACCATAATCATGAACCTAATACGGCTGGACAACTTCATATTTTTGGACATTTCCTCCATACGACCGAAGTAGGTATCCATGTGTGTTTTCGCCTTTGCATGGTCAAGTTGTTGTCCTACTGTCGTCATGAGTTTGCACAAGCTTTCCATTTCCTCCTCTTCAGGAACTCCATGAACTGTTAACAATTTTTTAACACACTCGTGCATGATACGCTCAGTAAGCATATTCAACTTAAATAGTTCACCAATAAAGCGTATTAAACCAAGGCCATGTCTTTTTGCTTTAGCCGCAGTATAGTATTCATCTGACATAAGGTCAGGCTCACCTTTCTCATTAGAAGGAACTGGAACATTCACCTTCCAGCCTTTTTCAAAATCTTCTTGGCATCTATTTAGTAGATATTTCCTGAACAACGTACCTCCTTGAACGAATTTACCATCAGAGTTTGTAACATTCTCATCCACTATTTCAACATCAACTCTTTCCATCATTTTACGACAAAGCTGTGCATACATTTGACTAAAGTTTGGCTCATCACAAGACTTCTCAAAGGTAAGTCGAATAACCTCTTTAAGCATGCGGCCATCTCTTTCATATATTGATTTATTTGCAAAATTAATAATTTGATCTGATATACTATCGAATTTTTCTAATGTCAATTTGTTCAGAAGAGCTTTCACTTTACGTTGAATCACTTCAACTGGAATAACATCATCTGATCCTTTATGCATAGGATTTATCATGCCAGGAACCCATCGGCCTTCTGTAGGCTCAAGAGGTGTCACTGCGTCTTGTCCCCCGGCGTGATTTAGTGGGCCGGCTCTGCTATTACGTTTACCATTCTCACGTCTACTACCTCGTCCTGGACTTGGAGGGCTAGCACCTACTCCCATTGACGAGGGTGTAGGCAATAACGCACTTCCACTTCCAGTACGAGCAAGCGATCTTCCAAAGCTATTTGAACCTAAACTTGCTCTAACAGAATTCGTCGAAGATTGCATCATAAATCGGTCTTCATTGTTCTTTGGTGTAGACTTAAATTCACCCATTTGTTGTTGAAATTGTGATGTCTGGCTTGGGCTGCTTTTAGCATGTTGTGAAGGTGGACGTGAGCCTAAACGTGAAGGATTATTTCGAGCACCTTTTTTATCATCTTTGGGTTCATCCATACCAATAGCATCGAGTGCTGGTAAGTTTTCTGGCTTTTCTTTACAGACATTCATGAATTGCATTAAAAAGGTACGATCATATTTATATTTTCCAGGAACAGCATTGGCGTTCAAATTAGGATTAGGTGATTTTATATTTGGTGGATATTGCACGGAATTTAGATCATCAATTAAGCGAGCACTGCTAAGTGGACCAGCAGGCGCAGAAGTCGTGCGAGATAAATCCAACGGTCCAGGTCGATTTCCTTTGCCAAATTTTTTTTCTTCTTTTTTTGGATCTTTTTTATCTGCTAACTCCGCTTCCGTTTTTTTTTCAGATTCTTCATTATCTGCATTAACTTTTTCTTCTTCCTTTTTCTTTTCAATCTCATCTTGTTCTTTGAGTTCTTTCTCAATGCGTTCTTGTTCCTCGCATTCTCTCTTTTCACGATCCTCTTTCTCCCGTTTTATACGTTCTTGCTCTCGTCGTTCTTTTTCTTCCCGCTCTTTTTCTTCTCTCTCTTTTTCTTCTTTCTTTTTCTTTTCTATTTCTTCTCGTTCTTTACGTTCCTTTTCCTCACGCTCTTTTCTTTCTCGTTCCTCTTGCTCTTTACGCTCTCTCTCCTCACGTTCTTTTCGTTCTTTTTCCTCACGTTCTTTGCGTTCCTTTTCCTCACGCTCTTTGCGTTCTTTTTCCTCACGCTCTATGCGTTCTTTTTCCTCACGCTCTATGCGTTCTTTCTCCTCACGCTCTTTACGTTCTTTCTCTTCACGTTCTTTACGTTCTTTCTCTTCACGTTCTCTTCGTTCTTTTTCTTCGCGTTCTTTACGTTCTTTCTCTACGCGCTCTTTTTCTTCTCGTTCTCTTCGTTCCTTTTCTTCGCGTTCCTGACGTTCCTTTTCTTCCTGCTCTTTACGTATTCGCTCTTCACGTTCTTTCTCCTCTCGTTCACGCAGTTCCATTTCTTCCTTTTCTTTCCGCTCTCTTTCTTCTCGTTCCATGCGTTCCTTTTCTTCACGTTCACGTTGTTCTCTTTCTTCTTTTTCCTTTTTTTCTCGCTCTATTTTAACTTTTTCAGCTGGGTTAACAATCTTAATAGCTTTAGAATCTTTTTTATCATCAGGAAGTTGATTTTCCTTCTCTTTATCCACATCGTCGAGTTTTTTATCATTAGCCGTGGCAATAGGTATTTCATCTTTCTTTACACTTGGGACTGTAGATGATGGTTGTGTTGGTACAACTACGGCAGTATTATCTGCGGGATTTATTATTGGAATGGCACGACTTTTTGCACCAGATGGTGCTGTAAACTGGGAAACAGGTGTTTGTTGCGGTATGTGATGTTGTGGCATATTAGGTCGAACAGGTACATAAGATTGAGGCAATGGTATTGGAAAAGTATATGGATAGTATGGTGGTTGCGGCGGTAGCTATAATCCATAGTAATATTATGTTGGCAATGGTAACAAATTATAATTCATAAAAACTCGAAAGCCAAAATTAAGTACACCTACACCACGATACTGCCACACGTTCATCGGTATTGTTGGTTGTGGTCCATTTAACATCGCGCTTTGTGGCGGAACTGTCGGCTGAGCAGGACTTATTGTAGGAGAAGGTTGAGCAGGTCCAGTTAAACCAGTTTTACTATCTCTTGGCCTTTGATATTGAACAGGTACACCTTGTCCAGACCCGGGCATTCCCCCGGGTTTATGATGTGGGTGTGGCCGACCATGAGGATGATGAGATCCATAACTCGAATGAGCGTGCTGATTTGTATGATTATGGTTAGTATGATGTGATTGGGGTTGGTGTGGGTGAAAATGTTGGTTCTGTTGACCGTCGTTGGATGATACTGTTGAAGACACAGAATCCTTACGATGATGCGGAGTGTTTGATGTTGAGGTAGATTGTTGATGTGGTGTAGCCGTGGGCAGCTGTTGCGCCGCTTGTACTGGTTGAGTACGAGACGTTATATTAGACGACTGATGACCTGAAGGTTGACCTACGCTTTTTACATTATTTGAATCTTGGAGATTAAGTTGCGGAGGAGCAGATTGAGTTCGAGGAATTTCATTTATACGTGCAGCTACGGGCCTTGGTGTAGTAGTAGTAGCAGTAAAAGCACCAGGGCCACTAGGAACAACAGCTGGTGGTGTCGGCGTTGGTTGTACCTATAAATTTTAAGCCAATCAATCATAACATATTTATGTACAACAATCTTAAACAAACGAACGAATATCATTATGTACCAATTCTTCGGAAGCACCTCGAACAGCTACTGATCCAAACTTCGTGTTGAGTTTTGGGACTATCTGAGGAAGAGCACCTCCACTACTTACAGAAATAGGATTATTTACCGGAGAGGTAGATAAAGAGGGTGCAGAGGGCTGATTTAATGATCCAAATTGAATTGTAATGCCTATAAACATTTAACGAGCTTGATTTGTTAGTATCAATAATAAAATTTAATAAATCTCAATTGATGTCTTGAAATTTTGATCACTCAAAAAAAGTATATCTCTCATAAAGAAATTTTGGAAGAACATTTTAAATATTTCAAAATCACAACTGCACAAATTTAACTAATGATTAAAAAAACACACCATTATTTTCTCGAGGTTGCCCCTTCGTTGGTAATTGTACTGGATTTTTTTGTTGAGTAGCTTTGATCGTTGACGCAGATCGCCCAGCGTTAGTGTTAGCGTTACCGTTGCCAATTACCGAGTTGTGTGGTGGCTGTGTCTTTTGATGTGAGGTAGAAGATTTTCCGTTAACGGATGAAGTAGAATTATTTGAAGGTGTAGTGGCAGCGGTTTGCTGAATATGTGGTTGCTGCTGTTGCTGCTGCTGCTGGCTTTGATGTGAATTTTGGTGTTGTTGAGACACTTGTTTCGATTTTTGCTGCGCAGCAGCTACTTGTGCGTAATTAGTCTTTTGCGTGTTTGTTGAGCTCGATGTTCGGTTGTTCATTTTAACCGCTAAAACATCTCAAAGATTCGTCGTTACAAATAATAATTTTTTGGAGCTGTATACCGTTCAGCGGTGCACGGCCGTGAAATGAATATGGAGAAAGTTGGAAAAAAAAAAAAAAATTCAATAAAAATTTAGAAGAAAGATTGTTTTTTTTTTTTTTTTTTTTGATAAAACGATTTATATATAAACTAATTTTTTTTTTTTTTTTCTCCGTACGTACTTACGTACGTATCATTCATCAACTACCTATAATAGGTCATATAAACTATTTATACGTAGAATTCGAACGCTGCGGTCTCTTCCGACGCTTACCATATTGATATAAATAGTCAATTGTTTGTTGATTGGCTACGCACAGAACAATAGTATCATCAACCACAATCTAAAATCTATAAAATAGTACACAGCCGGTTCTTAGACATAAATTTGCATATATAGTATATATATATATTATTATTTTTTTTTGCTTTTGAATGGGTATTAACGGTCCAGAACCAGTTGATGACACTTCTGATTCGGAATTTGTTGTTTTAAATAGTGAAGGAAATAGGAATGGAAATCTTGAAATGAATGAGTCTATGCCAACCTTATATTCTGACATTAATAACAGTGAGGATACTACTGATTTACAGACGGAGGTGACAAACAGTAACGTTGATAATAATATAGATCATAATCAAATAGGGCTTTCTCAGGACATTACGAATCTTAATACCCCATATATAAATCAACAAACGGAAGAGGAGGAATGTGAACAATATATTTCTGATCACCTTACTTTAACCCAGATCTCAAAAAATAGACCTACTCTAAGAAATCGTCATAGTACATCAATACATGGGTCATCCAAACCATTAAAATCAAATATTTCAACAGGTCTGTCCTCAGGGATATCATTATCATCATCCTCAGCGGGGGAGGGCAGTAGTCGTAGTGTTAAAGGAAGTCCCAATTGTAAAATTAATGGCAGTAATAACATAAATAATAATGGTTCAGAATATGAGTGTAATATATGGTAAGGAATTTTGTTAATGCCAAAGCACAATGCTATCTCAATACATCTATTTTAAGTAACATTATAAAATTCTTAGCTTTGATACAGCATCAGCACCAGTTCTCACACTTTGTGGGCATCTATTCTGGTTAGTAAATAAGATTCCAAATTATTTATTGATTATTTTTGCAATATTTTTCATTTATTCATTTTGAAAATTTTAGTTGGCCCTGTCTTCATCAAGTTAGTAATCTTAGTCCTTATGGGTCATTATTCAATTATTCGGGCATATTCTATTCTAATACAACATATCCTCCATAATAATTATATTTCAGTGGCTAGAAGCGCAATCACAAAATCCCTTATGTCCAGTTTGTAAAGCAGGGTGTGGGCAAGATAAAGTAATTCCAATATATGGACGTGGAAAAGAGGCGAAAGATCCTAGGTACAAACGTTAATATGCTGAAAATTTCGAATATTCTGAAATATTAAAATATTGAATTCGTAATTTATAATTTTTTGGCCAGAAAAAATGCAGATATTCCAAATCGTCCTGCTGGTCAAAGACCACAACCACAACGTGATATAAACCAACCTGGAACCCAGTTCTTTCCTGGGTCTTCTTTTCATTCCGCTGCGTTTGGTCCACATTTTTCAATTTCAGCCGGCACAATATTTCCAACATTGTTTGGTGCGCAATTTGTAAGCCCGTTGTATAATCTATAAATCAGTTCGAAATCAAAATTTCAATCTGTCTAAAAAAATCTTAAATTACAGACATTCCCTCCACCTAACGGTCCTCCTTCACCACAACAGGCTTTTTTGTCAAGGCTCCTATTGATGTTTGGCTGTCTAATCGTGATAATGTTTTTACTTTATTGAATTTACTGCTACATTATATTTTATAGAACAAAACAAGCAACAATTCATTCGATCGCATTCACGTGATTTCCATTCGTCGCACTTATCATTATCGTTACTATAGTGTATTTTAAACATGTGACATATAAGTGATAATTTAATGATTAAATGTCACTGACCGATCAATTCATCATTATTTATATATATCACTGTATCAACTGTGTGATAATAACATTATTACGTTATGCGATATATATAGATCATGTGCAATAATGAAAAACATGCGTTTATTCTATGCGCATCCCAGATTTCTCTTTTCGTATTCTTTTATGAATCAAAACTGCATGAATAAAAAAGCTTTTTTGGATGTCTATAATTCTTAAGGCAGGTATGTACGTATGTACATATGTGCGAAGAAGATAAGTCCGATACTCAAACTAATATTGATTATTACGTGATAAATATCTATATTTGACTAATCTATATGGCAGTCATGGTCTGTCACGGGTAAATTGTTTCAATATCGATAGAGTCAAAGAACTGATGCATCCAAAAATTTACGGTATATATAAAATTTGTGTCCCAGTCATTATTTAGTGTAAAGAAGCCATAATTCTGACTTGAAACTATAGGAACATCTTGCAAGATAATATATTGCTGGTGTCATGGGGTAAAAAGTGATTTCCGAAACAAAACTGCGCCATAAAGATCGTGATCGAATTAAATCATACCATTTCGATCGAGCCTGTGAATTTTTCATTTTATGACGAGTGATGCTTAACAATCGTACGACAATAAATAGCAAGATTAAACAAATGCGAACTGACGCTGAAGGTCTTAAGGATTACAGGTCCGAACCAAAAGAAAAAGCCCCTCCTTAAAGAATCCGTTAAAGGTTTTAATAGCTTTGAGAGTAATATATTAATTAACCAAAGCCCCTTTAGTCCCCTTATTGATGCAATAGTTTTGCTTTTGTACAAAAATAGAATACTCCAAGTTCTCTAATAAACAATATAACCCGATTTAATTGTGAATAATTGTAACTTCACTTTTGATTTTTACTACGTACAAATAACCGGTGCAGTTTTAGGGTAAGACAGGGAAGGGGTCAGATATTAAAGATTCAAATTTTAGTTAAAGGTAGGTTTTAGGGATCTGAATATTTTTACGTAATATATATCTGACCTTTGTTTCTTAGTCCTGTTTTTGAGATATTGCACCCTGGTGATGATCACCACCAGTTATGGTTAATAAAATTCTGTAAAATAATAACGATAAATTTCGCGAAAATGAAAAAATTTAAGAAACTAAAAAAAAAACCAATTACATCAAAATACAAAAATAGTATACGTATAAATGATTCATTAAATTTGTATATCCCGTTTTCAATACGTATAAATTACACTAATGTTTGAAGGCCTAAAAATGGCATCTATGTAACATTTGTTCGGAACGTTGGCATTTATTGACTTAAAAAAAATATATAGAATGCTACACTGAGATATCTGATGTGTCTTTGTAAATTAATATTCTTGTAAGTTAATTCAAATAAGTAAATATTTAATTGCGTCATTGTTTTTTTTAAACTATAATCGTTGATGTCAAAGATCAGTAAATATATTTATACGTATGTCTATTTATTACATATTTATAAAATTGTTACATTTTGCAAACCAAAATTGCAATTAATTGACTCTCGATGACTGCGCCGCCAATTAATTAATTGTGTTCCCTCACAATCAATTTATTCGGTAGGCCTGGCTGCACTCTTTGATTTTCTACTTCTATTGAGCGTTGCTCCAGTATCTTTGAGTTGCAAAATTATATGCAAAGATAAAATTGTCGTAACACAACCCTATGCATAAGCGTTAATTATGTTATTTTCGAAATTTATTAAATGTGTTTATAAACAATGTCATGAATTTATTAGATCAGCTTAGATATTTCCGTCCTTTGCAAGTTTTTTCAATACCACTTCGACTGCATTACTTAATTTCTCAACCCCACCACTAATTTCATCTGCTGTAACTGTTAACGGTGGAATTAATCTCAAAGTCTCATAAATTCCCGTAGTTAATATAATCATATCATGCGTTTCAAATGCCTCCCGGGATACTGCCGTGACAAACCCACGTGGTACACCTGTAAACTCTAGTCCAACCATTAGACCTAAACCACGAATGTCTAGTCCAATATGTGGAGGTAATAAAGGTTTTATTCGGGAATTAAGTAATGAAAACAGCTGAGATGACCTATTGAGAAAGATGCAATCATGAAACTTTAGATATGTGGAAAAGAACAAATAAACATTATGTAAATACCTATTATTAACATTTTCCAATATTCTTTCTTCTTCAAATACCTCTAGCGTGGCTATTGCTGCCGCACATGATACGGCGTTGCCAGCATACGTTCCTCCCTGAGTTGACAGAGAAGACGTATGGTTATAAACCTACAAATTTATCGTATACATAAAAAAAAAAGAAAAAAAACCCCCGAATACATACCATACTTCCTGCTGGTTGTGTATCCATTAATTTCTTATTCGAAACAATACCACTCAGAGGAAATCCAGAAGCGATCCCCTTAGCCATAACCATAATATCTGGCATAACATCGAAATGTTCAGTTGCAAACATTTTGCCAGTTCTCCCAAAACCAGTCTGAACTTCATCACAGATTAATAAGATATTATTCTTAGTGCAAATCTCCCTCAATTTTGGGAAAAAACTTTTGGGGGGTACTACGTATCCTCCTTCTCCTAATATTGGTTCGACAATCATTGCTGCTGTTTCATCTGGAGCTGTTTGTTGTTTTAAAAGCAATTCAACTTGCTCAATGGGATTATCACAACAGTTAATTCTGTCGTATTTTTGCGGAACAGCGCGATGTATCGGGCAAGTGAAGCAATAAGGATAAGGTGCAACATAAACTCCAGACTAAATTAATAAATTTGTATTATTGAAATGAATTGAACATGTGTTTACAAGTAAATATTTAAATTTACCATCAATGGTCCAAAACCAGCACTGTAAATGGTTTTAGAAGTAGTAAGCGACATCGTCCCAAAAGTTCTTCCATGAAATCCACCTGGAATATTGATAATTTCATTAATGCAAAATTAAATGACACTTAACAATAATATACAAACCAAACATGCAATTACCTTGAAATACGATTACATTTTGTTTTTTGGTTGCATGCCTCGCTAGCTTTACTGCGGCTTCAACTGCCTCTGCACCAGAATTCCAGAAGAAAAACGAGTCAAATTGAGTAGAAGGCATTACGGGTTTCAATTTTCCAATAAGGTCCAACATTGGCTTATGAAACATAATGTTGACCTATATATGAATCGTGACAAAATTTACAATTATGCTTCATAAAAAAATAACGTTTACGTCAAATTATATTCTCACTTGTCCATGATTCAATTTTGCGGCCTGCTCCTGGACAGCTTTTACAACTTTTGGATGGCAGTGCCCTTGAATTTATAGCGTAAAACATAGATGATGAATAATGCAATCTCTCAATTTCATAATATGTCATTAACTTTAATGCTTAAAATTACACAATTAGGTGTAATGATTCAACAAGCAAAGAAAAAAAAAATTATCACCTAAAGAAGTTACACCTATGCCCGATGAAAAATCTAAAAATTTTTTTCCTTGAACATCATATATATAAGAGCCTTTAGCTTGTTGAATGACCAAATTAGTGCTTCGACTTATCCCTCGAGCAATATGTTGTCTTCCAAATTCGACTAATTTTTCAGCGCTTTGAAACGACATGTCTTTTAAACATAAATGTCATTATACATTATTATAGTCACTCAGTTCATGAAAGCTATCAGCGTTGCTGGTATACTTGCCAGAAAACCTGTACAAAACCCAAATTTCAAAAAAAAAAAAAAAAGAAAAAAAACAACAGCTATTTATAAAAATTAAATGAAAAAAAATGTCTTGATATTTTGCAAATATATTCGATACAAGAATATATCGTTTATTTAGACAAGATTGTTATAAAGTTTTGAAATATTAGCCTGGTCAATGTTTAGACTTTTGGCGTTGACAAACTTAAACAATAATGGTTTGGGATTTGGCGGCAAGTATACATATCGATAGCTTTTGTTTGTCCATTAATAGACGTTGATCTATTATCCCCATTAACGTTAATAGATATTGATTTAACCTAGAGTTCCAATCCGTCATCCATTTATCCATATCCAAATATCCATTTACTATAGATATCCGGATAATCCGACAACTATTCGGATAATTATCCGGATATCAATATCTGAATACGTATCCAATAGATAAATGGATAATGGGTTGGGAGATAATCTTGATTTTACGATTTTACTGATTTGCTCCCAAATTTCTATTGGCTGGGATTATTAGCATAAATTTACATCTTGTCACAGGCAAACCCGTGCCCCCATCACCACCGTAAATTCTCACAGAACGATAATAGCCCCAAAGCCGAATCGGTAATATATGTGGCGGGACAGAAAAAAAATTACGTTCTTAACTATTTTCGATCGATATGCATCAAAAACGTAATATTTTTTTTTGTATCACTTATTGCATAAAAATTGAGTGTCCGTCGCTACTACGCACCGGACAATCACTACCCTAATTAATTTCGCTAGTCAATAAGATTTCAAGATCATGTGTAACGCAAAAGAAGCGTGAAAAAATTTTGCTTATGAAAAGTGCCTTCTGAGTACTAACAAAAATTTTACTATAATAAAATTTTACTATAACTATAGCCATTTAAACCAAACACCTAACCCTCAATTAATTGCGAGCCAATTTTTTTTAATAATATTACATTTTAGGGTGGTAATGCTAGACTTATGCCAAAATTCTGGGTCAGAATACCTTGGAATCATGATCGGCAGGATTGAAATTAACTAATTTTGCCCAAGATTACTAAAAGTTTTACTAATGAAGTCATAACCCACTCATTAATAGTAATAATTTTATCTGAAAATTTGATACAGATGTCTTTAAAGAGATAAAGAAACAGTGAGATAATGAAAAGAATTAGTTGAAAATGACGAAAATAATTTAAAATTAATAAAGGTGTTTAAGCCATCACAGTAGTATCGAAATTCTAAATTTGACTAAATGTATATTATATGATTAAAATGTTTATAATTATAATATAATACGTATGATTAGTCAGAAGTTACAACAAATCCAGATGGGTATGTATTTTACATATGTGTTTATGTACATAAACAGTACAATATATACACATGCTATAATATACTATAACATGATATGACGATACTTAAAGCTGGTTTATTATGAAATTTAATTAAAGATTAGGGTCAGTTTAGGACTCATATAAGCTATTTTGTGAAAGTTATTACAGGTAAAATCATCCTCTGGCATTTTTTATTAATACATCAAGATAAGTTTAAACATTCGTTTCTTACATATTTATTTTTTTGCTTCGTCGTATAAACAAAATCCGTGGTCATATGCACAGAAAATCTCGTGATGGGACTGGCTTTAAGCGACTCCTTAATTTAGACATTTTGACATTATTTAGAATTTCGAAATATTTCGACAAGCATAAATAATTTCAGCTAAAAACATTACTCTAATCCTAACTTTAATAATAAGGGGGTTATGTACCCATGTAACTTTTTTGTGTAAATCAACCAATCGGAATTGCAAAATTTTGTTTACACTTTGTCTTGGGGTACTAATTAAAAATAACGGGAAGGCTACTGTATATCCCTCTTATACCAACACCAAGCCCTAACCTTAATTTTAATTACGTAAAACAATTGACCCGTCAAAATCACATGGTACATGGTTTTAACCATCCTCCTAATAAGGCATCCCTCATTTTAACCCCAATTCTAATATTATATACTTGTTAGATTTATACAAACAGAGATGCACCGAATGCACAGGCAATGACGTATGTGAACAATTTAAGAAAATTTGAGACAAAAATAATATATAGTTATTGGATGCGAAGAAAATAATTTATTATCTGGCTGTTAAGTTTAATATATCTAATATGCAGCTTCTGGGCCCCGAAGGGACCCAGAAATGACATATTAAATTCACAGCCAGATAAACGAGTTATTGGCTGAGTAGCATTTATCAAGTATCACTATGATCATACCAACGACTCGAGTTCTTTTGGTGATGATTGCGTCATCATCATCAAAATAACTCCGGATAAATTAAAATTACTTAAAATTTTATTTATATATATATTTTAAGTAAATTTATTGATTATTTAAGCCTAGGAACGCTTTGAACAATTTTAAATTGGACGTAGTAACATGATAACATGATAACATGATAACACTGTGCACGGGTGCACAGTTTAACATTTTCCCAAAACTAATTGTTTAAAACTCTATGGTTTAGTTTGGTTTGGTTTTAACTATATACATCAGGGTTTAATCAAACCAAACCAAACTTTCTCATCCCTAATTTACCGATGACCAATAGAAACTTGGGGGTGAAATTAGTAAACGCTGATTTTACTAAGTTTCCCAAGTTTCTATTAATTGTATGGTGCGATCAGCTTTAAATTATAAAAAATAGCTTTACGAAAAATGCTACGTACTTCTCATTTAAAATTTTATGAAATACAAAAATAAACCACAAGATATTTCTTATTGTTCTTAAAAACAAAACTTGTGATTTAAATTTAAGCTTAAAGCAAAACTGATTATATATTAACCTTTTAAGCTTTGGCTATTTTATTGTCTCTTAAACCGTCAACTTCAAATATACTACGATATGGAATATAAATTGGTACGTAGATCAAACATGGGGTCTTTGCCTTGAAAATGACCCTACGGGACATAGTAATTACTATATCCCATAAGGTCATTTTCAAAGCAAAGACCCCACATGATTTAATCGTACAAATTTGTATGCTAGAGGTTTAAGGATAAAATTATAAAATATGATCCGTATATATTTTTCCTTTGACCAATCAGATAATCGAATTCATTAAGATCGACAAAATTTTCCAATTTACCTTTCTTTTTAGTGGGCAACATAGTTAGTACGCAAAAGGTGATTTCTTAGGCGAAAATTTACAAGGGCGCTTATTAAGGTTCACGTTATACCCGATATTGCTTCCTGATTGGCTAGAATTAGTATCACGTTATTAAGGGTCGTCAATTTCGCCCAATCAAAAGTGACGTGACGCATCGGATTAGATTTTTTGACTTTATGTTAGAGTTCCGGTGGTTACAGGCTTTGGAAGTTACTTATTACTATATATAAAATGACGCTCCCGGGTTGATAAGTTTGGATATTTTTCGAATTATGGGATGACTCACCATACTTAAATGATATTAATGATATTTGTAAATTTATCACAGGCCAATTGAGAATAAACCTCATGGGATGTATTTGAACTGGCTCACTTCAGAACTATAGTTACAACGTTTAGTTTAAATATTTTTTAATTGGCTTTAAATTTTTGTAAATAAATTTTTATGTGCTATTAACCCCTGTAATTTAATATCATGTGATAGATAGCAGTAATGTAATGTAACAGAACATTAGTAGCGCTACGAAGCGCTATATACGTAACAGGCGTACCGAATATTTAATTGCGGTGTCAATTAATTGCAATTTTTGCCGGAGTTTGTAAAACGTGTTGTAATAAAACATATGCCAAAGTATATTTTACTGGTCTTGATGCAAAAACTTGTAATTTAACTTTATACGTAATTGAATAAAAAAATCAAAACTATCAACCTATTTCTTTTAGCAACTTGCACAATTTATATTTTTTTTTCGAAGGCACATACATCAAATAGTGCTCTAAATATCTATTATAAATTGGTTCCAATGAGCGCAAAAGTTTCAAACAAGTGTTACATAGAGGCTTTTTTTAACCCAAATTTGAGTTATACGAATTTAATAAGCAAGACATGAACATTTTAGGTTGCTTTACCAACAGCGAATCAAAAATGATATCTTTACAGCAAACCATGATACATCAATCTATAGCACAAGTGCGCTCAATATTTTTAATTGAGTTAACCTTATCATAAAATGCTGATTTTATTTGGTGGATTAGTTTTTTTTTATTTTCAAAATTCGATATTATTAAGTTGTAATTGAATAAAATTTAACGTTAATTGCAATTAAATTTTCGGTACCCTGCTATATAGCGATATATAGCACTAGAAGTTTTATTAAACACCTGTAGAATTAATAGCTTTAAATAGTACAAGAAATACTTGGTAATGTTAGATCGTACATAAATGTACTAATAGAAAGATAGCAAAAGATCATAATTTGAAATGTATAAATAAGCTTAAATATCGCTCTTGTAGAAAAACAGTTCTAAACTCAACAACTCAACAAACTAATAAAGGAGTAATCGTGTCTTCATACACGAATAACTCGAATACTTTAATAAATAATCTTCATACACGGATACCTGGAATAATTAGTTATAGTGTTCTCATACACGGATAACTTGGAATATAGTAATAAACTTGTTATACGACTATTTGTATCTTCATATACATTTAGCCGTTTGCCTCTTTCATAACTGCAAATCACCCTATAAGCGTAATCGCAATAAAATCTTATACTTTACTTAAGCATAAATCGGCATTGTGATTTAATTACTTAACCTACTTGTCGCTAAAGTAAAACCGGTATACCAAAGGTAGTTTTCGGGTGTAACGGACGCATGTTTTAATTTATGTAGAATTGACAAATATTGAATCAATAATTGATGATCGTTATTTCCGATAATAACGAGGATAAATCATGTGATAATAAAATGTAATATTATTTAAGGCAATTCTTAATCTAATAATACGTAATATAATTCTTTTTTTTGTTCATTCTTAAATCGAATATGAATTTATCAATAAGATCTTTAATTTTTCTATCTGTGCGTATTGCTGTAATATTTTTATTAGTTATTTTTATATTATTGTTGAAGAACATAAAATTAGACCCTCGAACAAGTTTTTTGGATAAAGAATGGATCAATCCAAACAAAGATTTAACATTATTTTATAATACTACAAGAGCGAATGCTGCGGTCGTAGCATTAGTTAGGAATTCAGAGTTATACGGGTTATTGGAATCAATAAGACAATTTGAGGATAGGTGGAATAAAAAATATAATTATCCATATGTATTTCTAAATGATGTTGATTTCACCGAAGAATTTAAATTTAGAACATCAGCATTAACAAAATCAAAAACATATTATGGTAAGTGTTTATGTATTATTTATTAATTAATAATATGTTTAATCGGTTCTTTATTTATTTTGAAGGAAAAATTCCAGAACATATGTGGAGTTATCCATCATGGATAAATCAAACAAAAGCTGCTGAATGTCGTGCAGAAATGTCATCAAAAAATGTAATATATGGTGGATCAGAATCATATCGGCATATGTGTAGATTCAATTCTGGGTTTTTCTTTCAACATCAACTGTTATTACCTTTTGATTATTATTGGAGATTAGAACCTTCTGTTCAATTTATGTGCGATATTGATTATGATCCATTTTTATTTATGCAAAAGAACAAATTAATTTATGGATTTACTATTAGTTTAATGGAATATGAATCTACAATTCCTACACTTTGGGATGCCGTAAAACAGTTTATAGAAGAGTATCCACATCATATTAAGGAGAATAATATAATGAAATTTATTAGTAATGATAATGGAGAAACTTACAATCTGTAAGTAGTGAAAAAAAAAGATAAATTAAATCATTAAAATGAAATACTAATTATTATCTGCGACAAAAGATGTCACTTTTGGAGTAACTTTGAAATTGGTGATTTAAATTTTTGGAGAAGTGATCCATACCGAGATTTCTTTAATCATTTAGACAAGTTAGGAGGATTTTTCTATGAGCGGTATGGCACAATTTTTTATTCTTTAATTTATATACAGTCAGCCCTGGCTATAATCACACTCTTGGCCAAAAAAAAAGGTGATTATAATAATGTTGTGCCTATAATAAGGTCAAATTAATAAGCTGGGTCCTAATAAAAATATAAATTTTATAAATTATGATTATAACTAGTGTGACTTTAGCAAGGGTTGACTATATCTCAATTGTGTAGTTGATGGTAAAATTATTTACTAAATTTTACATTGCCAAATTGCTGCCACAATAAAATACAATTTAATAATTTTTCCATCAATCACATATTCATAATTCGCCATTAATATTACAATTTTTATGTTAAAAAAAAGTTGGGGGGATGCGCCAGTTCATTCAATAGCCGTGGCATTGTTTGCTCAAAAATCAGAAGTCCATTTTTTCAACGACATAGCATATTATCATATTCCATTTCAACACTGCCCGACAGAAAGTGAATATCATGAGATTGGAAGATGTCATTGTGATCCAGGACAAAATTTTGGTATATTCTTATTAATTAATAAGAAGCTATGTTTTTTACAATATATTAATTATTATTCATTTAAAAATTAAACAGATATGGAATGGTATTCCTGTACTCCAAAGTGGTTTGCTACATAGATTATTGTTGTCTTACTTGGATGCTTTTTGGTTATCTCATCAAATTAAATTTTAAAAAATCGAAATTATTTTAATAATATATAAAATTAGTTTAGTGTAAGACATGCATAATTTGTACAAAATTTAGAATAAAAAATATATATTCTATTTTTCTTTTGACAAGAAATGATAGGAAATTATTAACGTATGTCATAATTCATAACAATCTTTTATAAAAATAAATATATATATATAATAACTTATAAATGTATTAGCGAAGATAATATAAATAGTGAAAAAATATTATAAATATACATCCATATAAGAAGTACCTTATTACTTATAGCCACTCAGGTTTAAATTCGGGATCATATGGTACATGTTCTGAAAATATCTCAATGAACTAAAATTACACAGGCATTAAATGTTTGAGTTAGAGCTTTTTAAATTAACACATATAACCAAAAAAGAAATTTACCTCTTGATCAGCTAGAACTTTTGTAACGGCAAAACGTCGATATTCATGAAAAATCGAAGTCAGTGACCATTTCTGTAACTTACGAAGGCATCCTACTAAACAGCCTATTCTATGCTATTCATTATAGATATTTAAAGTTAGTAAGTCTGATTACAGATAAGGAAATAATAATACATGCCCACCTTTCCTTTATTACAATGTATCAATACTGAAAAGAATAAACACAAGTTTTAATAGTAGTATTAATAACAAAAAGTTCTACTAATATGAATATATGTAAGTACCTGGATGATTTCTTACGTCTATATATATTTATATATATATATATGAATTAATATAATGCAAAGTGAAAAGATTTATATTAAATCTTAATTTACCTAAAACTTTAACTAAAGCATTACTAATTTCTTTTTGTTCGATTTCAATAAATGGTTCCTGATAAATAATTTGAACGTTAAATAATCGGAATAGAAAATTTTATTAAAATGAGTATTGAATACCTTATTTCCGTCAATTTTATAATGAAAAACCTGGATATTTTGATCATTTACAAATTGACTCAGTTCTTCATGAACTTCATCCGATGAAAGGTATCTGTTTATTCGTTCGCAATGTAATGAATATAATTAAAATTTGTAGTTTTATTTATTTATTGCATATATGAGATTAAGTCTAACATTATGCTTTTCAATTTTAATTTTTTTAAGAAGGGAAAATTTTTACGATTTGGATGTCCAGAGCGATAAACACCTGGAGCTACCATTGCAAAATTCAAGGGTGGCACCATGATTTTAACTTCATCGTCAGGGCTGTTGGATGGTTTATGTGTTGAAGTATTATTAACATTAGATGAAAGTTCTAATGTCATTTTGAAGGATAAATTCAAAATAGTTTGGTTAATCCATCTCACTTATATAAATTCAATTTAAATGTCACGTATGTGATGTATAATAACTTGTACCAGTCGTTCTACGTATCAATTATCAATACTTAGTCGAAAAATTGATTTAGTAAATTTTTTTTTGTTATCGTTATAATTATCTCCAAATTTCTAACCACGACAAATTAAATTTATTAATTATTCATTTTGAATAAAAAACAGTATGACTCTAAACACCAAGAATGATATCTAATAATATGTATTAGAAAAAGGTTTCAAATCAAAGATAATCCATATAAAAGTTATATCTTATTGAAATGTAATAAACTTATATCACAAAGCTAGGTGTTTAATAAGCACTTTAAATATGGAGCCAGTACATAGTTTCAAATATTATTTCAATAATATCTTTACAAGTATTTAAGGTATTTAAGGGTTTCCAACTTTAGGAAAAAAGTCATCATCTCTTTTTGAATAGCTTTGTTAATAGAATAACCTTATGTCTTCGCAGCGGTTTGTGGTTTTTTTGAACCCAATTTTAGTCATTATGTGATAATAATTTTTTAAAGATTAAGGGGAAAAGATCTTTTTTTATCAAAGATCAAAGTTGTTTTTGAGATCTGCAAACGTTAATGACCGAGATTTTTACTTTACGCGTGCAGGTGATATAAATCAAAAGAAAGATAGCAAAGTTAAAGAACATAAATTTTATTTATCCCGAATCGGTCTGCACGTGCGCAAAAAAAAAAAAAAAGACAGGAATGTTTCTGATATAAAATTTGGTTAGCATTATTGGTTCGTTTAATTATATCAATATTAAATTTTACTTTTTACATTTCTCTCGTTTAGCAGGTTAACGGCGTAGTAATTAGTCATGGTGATCCGTGCATATCGATATAATTGAGACTTAAAAATACTGAGTAGATTCGCAATTTCAGCGGAATTGCACAAGCCCGGACACTAGGGTTCGTGGCACAGTAAAAAAAATTGGTATGCCAAATTCTAGTTTTGATGCCATGCTATATAATATGAATCAGAGTTCTTGGATTTTTCTAGCGGATAAAATAGTGATATTACGACAATCACATATCCAATTCAAAGCAAAATTACCAAAATTGGTTATTTTAATTCTACATATCTATAGAATACTAAAAAAAATTTTATGAGTTTAGTTTGATTGATTTCGTGATATTGCTTGTGCTATTTTAGATGCTAGAAAAATCCAAGGACTCTGATATAAATAGTAATATTTTAAACCATATTGTATTTATTTTTATAAGTTGACATATTCAGTTAAAAATATATTGTAAGTTAATTTAATCTTTATTTTCAAAAAGGATTTTAATTACGATACTTATAAATATTAAATTTTTATTATATTAATTCTAATGGCATGCCTTTTGGTCCTATGGCATGCCATGCCATGAACCCTACTAGACACTCTAGGTTTAATGAACTAATACTTATACATTAATTACGTGTACGTAGTAACAAATACTCGGATGGATTGTAAAATATATCATTAATAATCTATACTAGACTTGACTAGCATGATTACTAATTCTTACATATGCATGCGTATGGTTCCATCAAGCAACGCGTGAAGGAATATCTCTCGTGCTCCACTGACATCTCCATCAATTACATTCTACACTTCTTATATTTTTAATTTTTCTTTCTTCTATATCTTATATGTTTTCACAATTAGAACATGAAAATGTAAGTCTTATCTTGTATGATAATCTTAACAACAATTTCTTTGGCTTTTGGATCTTAGTCTTTGTCCAAACATGAAAACAATCAAGTTAACCAACTTTTGAATTAATTTTTCTACTTTTTCTCTTTATCCCAAAATTGTTAAACTCAGAAATTATCACAATATCAAGTATTTTATAAGATATAATTCATATATTTCTTGTATGTAAGATTATACTATTAAATCTTTTTATTTTTTCCTTTTGAAATTAATAATTTCAATTTATTAATCTTTGAAGATAATTTATTCATTATATATGTTTTCTAACACTCAGATTTATTGTTACAAATTTTCCATAAGTTCTTTTGATCTTTTATATATTTATAAAAAAATTATTCCTTTGTTTTATAATCATAAATAAGTAAATTTAAAATCTATATTAAATATTGTTCTCTGAACACTCTAATCAACACCAGTGTCTGGCACATGCCAGTGTTTGCCAACGCTTGTGCCTGGAATTATTTGACTGATTTCTGGATTTATAAAAAGTTACAAGTTGCTGATCAAATAAATTTTATTTAAAGTAGCTAAAATAAACATTTATCTATTATTTTATTAATTTTCAATTAAATTATTTAAACTATAGCATAGACCAGAGGCCTGCGGAACCTGTGATATAATTTAACAAATTATGTTTTCGATATCAGCAAATTATTTAATTTACTGCTGATTATCATTAAAAGTACGAATTCGTATAAAACAGAAATTCATCTAATAAAAAAAATTGTTGCACTAAAAAAAAAAAAAGAACTTTTATGCACAAATATGTAGGCCATAATATTGTTATTTCTTTAACTATTGAAATATAAATATTTTATTATATTTGCTAAAAATGTTGCCATATTTGCTTAAGAAATACATTTTCTATAATCGAAGCAATGTAGCAAATCACATAATTTTTGCGATTTGTTCCTATCACAACAAATCACAGAATTTACATGTTCTAATATAGATTCTGTAAAAATATCGAACACTTAAAAATTGACATTAACATAGTTACTGGCATTAGCGTCTAGTATAATACCAATGTGTCCAGCATGGGCACTTGCAGATAGGGATGGGTTCAGTCACAAACGGTCACTATTATTCATAGTCAATTTTCTAAATACTGAGATGATTTTTTATTTTTAAGCTTTTAATTAAAGCTGTCTAGAATTAAATTCTGTTCATCCTATCTTATAAGTGAAAGAACGATACTTTCTCTGGAAATCAAAATTTCAAAATTTGTCAACGTATAATCGGTCAATAACCGGTTATAACGTTAACAAATTTTGAAATTCTGGATTCCAGAGAAGGTATTGTTCTTTCCACTTATAAGGTGGGATGAACAGAATTTAATTATGAATAACTTTAATTAAAAGCTTAAAAATAAAAAATCATCCCAGTATTTAGAAAATTGACTGAATAATTGTGACCGTTTGTGACCGAACCATCCACCCCTAGGCACAAAGATGTGCCTTTGTGCTTATAGGCACTAGCACGGCATAAGGCAATAGTGCTCAGCAAAGTGCTCCATGTGTCGCATGGGCATTTGCAGACCTCTAGCTGTATCCAATACAAACTTTAAAGCAGGTACACAGAATTTATGATTTGGGTTCGTTGAGAGCTATCAGTTACACGAAAATTAATATGTAATTGTCCGGAGCGTAGCGGAGGACATTTAATGTTTTACAAAAAGTTTCTGTTTTTAATTACATTCTCGATTAATTCATTAGATATATGGGTCAGTCCCAAATCGGTTCTGTCAGTCCTAAGCAGATTACAAGATTTTAAAATCATCTTTTTTTTTTGCGAGCCACTAATTAAACAAATTTTTAATAGTACTTACCTATTGAGAAATAATGGCAGACCTACTCGAACAAGTAGGGTTGTATCAGTTTTAAATCGGTCCCAAGACCAGTTCTAACCCTTACATTTTGGAAGATTTTGAATTTTTGAGAAGCTTTGCCACATTTTTACAATAAATAAGTACAATTAAAATTTTGTTTAAAATAACTTTAATTAGTGGCTCACGAAGAAAAAATGATCTCAAAAACTTGCAATCTGCTTAGGACCGACAGGACCGATTTGGGACCGATCCATCCCTACGTATGAATCCCAAATGCCGTATGCATCCCAAGTGCCATATGAATTCAAAATATCGTATCGATAAATTAAAATTTATATCTACCCGCTATAGCTATATGACCAATATGGCATTTAATTAATCAATACTACAATCAATATATGTAATTAATTAAATATGTATGAATATACGTAATATATTAATCAATGATGTAATAAAAATAATTTAAACGTAATAAATTTAGTTTATATATTTTCTTGAAATTATTATCTATTAATGAAAACTTTTTTTTACAATGGATTTGAACGAAGATGATTTGGTTCTAGATAATGATCGTTCACAATTGCCTTTATCTGAATTAAATTATAACATCAATCAACTTTTTACATGTCATCCTTCTACTTCTCAACAACTATCAAAACCTCTTCAAAAGCGAAATGAAATTATTCCATCTCAAGAAGTGGTTAGTCAAAATAGCTCATCCGGAAAAGAAAATTTTCTGTCTAATCAGCCTAAAAAAAGACATCGTGGTAGTCCTAAACAAGATCAAATTTGGGATTATGTTAATATTGAAGATCATTTAGGAGATGGGCATTATAGAGCTAGTTGCAGATATTGTGAAATTGTATGGAACTGTGGAAAGCCACAGATACTTAAATGTCATTTAGCATGAGAATGCATAGAAATTTCTTATGAGATTAAAGAAATTTGAAGAGATAATTTAGCAATGGAGAAAAAAATGATCAAAAGGTGAAATAAAATTAAAACTAAATTAGGATTGTTAGATATAATGTTAGAAAAAAAGTAGTGACAAATTGATAATACTATTTTAAAAGGTTGGGTGTGCACTGGGATTCTTTTTGAGATTATTGATAATCTTTTATCATCAATATGTTTAAAATCTTAAATGCTGAATACAATCCACCTTCTTATTATATTCTTTTTGAGTGTATTCTTGATAAAGAAGTAACTAAAGTTGAAAAGTCTATTGATGTTGAATTAGATAATGAGACAAATCTAATCTTAAATAATAAATTTATTATTTTTTTTTTGAATAAAAAAATACTAATATTTTAATAATTATTAATATATTTTTTTTAGTACTTGACAGGTGGACTGCACCAACAAGTGCATTATTCTATAATTATATAATTACAATCTCTAATC